GTCAACGTCAATGGCGTTACTACAGTTCAATGGCAATTTTTGCCAATTGTTGCCGTGATCTCGCAAAGGATTTTTTTGCAGTTTGGGAAAATAGATGGGGTCGCGAGTCTGCCATGGCCAATGTGTACAAGCTTGCGCCGAAATGTATATCTTCTCGCTGGGGCTCAGTTGATTCCGTTGAGGAACGTTTTTTGCAGCCTGCTCTGCCTGAGGCATGGGCACATTGTTTGAGCAAAGTCGCACTAGAGAAAATGGATGGATTTGGCGATCTGGATTCGACTACACTTGACCAACTTTCTAAAATGCTGCCCGAAGATTTGAAGGAAGCTTTCTCAAGCAAAGCAAAGAAGGCCAAATCTAAGAAGGAGGCACAAAGCAGAGTTAAATCAAAAGGCTCAAGACTTGGCTCTGTGGGTGGAGTTGATCTTCTAGCCATTGAAGAGATGGCGGAATTTGCAGCCAGAGTAAGCCGCTGGCAGCGACACCTACTTTTGACCATCAACGATTACAGACAGAAGAGCTGCGTGTGCTTTACTATTTCCCTTTACCAGCAGCTCAAATGCTCTCGAAGATGAGCTGAGCTGTCACCGCTTGGCCGCCGGTGGGGGGTTTGTCTGGGAGGCCTGCGAGCTACTTCGTTCACTATATCTACAGTGAAGAACTTCACCATTTGCCCTTACCAGCAGCTCAAACGCTCACGAAGATGAGCTGAGCTGTCACCGCTTGGCCGCCGGCGGGGGGTTTGGGAGGCCTGGGCGCTACTTGGTTCACTATATCTCGAGTGAAGACCTTCACCATTTCCCCTTACCAGCAGCAGACATAGACACACACACAGACAGGGACTCATACACACACATCACATACAGAGACCCACACACTGCCTCAACTCACTCGACTTAAACACTTCACACGGAACACTTAACACATAACTCACACTCTGACTGCCTACGTGATGAAAAATGCTTTCGGGCCACTCGTCGTCTAGTTTGACAAAATTAAAAATAAATTTTCCATTGGCTTTCATACTTGTATTGAAAACGTTTCATAAATGAGTTTTTCAACAAAAGAAAATCATAAACTTCATCAGTTCATCGTGCTGCTTTCATATCTTTTTCATCAACGTTTCATTAAAAGCGCGGAACAGTTTGCACAGCTTCCAAAGCTTTGAAACATGGCGAGACCGCCATAACACGTTGGCTCAAGAAAACACAAGCCCGCACGCAGCGCGACCGCTTCCATGTGTTATGAGCCCAAGCCATGGCTTCACTGAGACGCCGAAGATCGCAATCGAAGGAACCCACGGCTGATGAACAATTGGCTGCGACGCTAGCTGAAGCAAGAGCTCAGCCAAGGAGGGCACAAAGCCTGGAACCGAGCCGAACTATGACCCCATCCCTGAAGAGAACTTCCCAAGCGGCGTGATGAACACCCCAGCGGAGAGAAGAGCTGTGGAGGAGCAACGAGCTCTACCTGCACTGGAAGAACTTCGGGAACTTGGGGGGTCTCAACCACCGCATCGGAGGCGAAAGGAAGGGGAAACTATATGACCTCTTCATGGTCTATGTCAGTGGACATTGTTGGACCTCTACCTCGATCTAAGGATGCGACCACAAGCTATTGCATGAAGTATGCCCTGATAGCAGTTGCATTGGTCCCGGATTTGGGGTGGTGGAAAACTACAAAAAAGATGAACCGGGAGATGAACATGAAGACCAACCACATGAAGAACCGGATTGTCCACCTGTGGAGGAGGGTGATGCAGAACCGGGGTAGTTGGATATCATGAAACAAAAATCCCTGGAGGAGGAGAAATGAATCCCTGGAAAAGGTCCCGGTGAAACACGTGGTCCATGTGGAACCCATCGCATCTCGAGCGAAGGAGGAGGTGGTCGTGGCCACGCAAAAGGCTCCGGCTAACTTCACGGCCAGGGGTATCTACGTCTAATCTCTCTCGGTCTATGACCGCTTGGTGTGCGAAAAATGGGATTGTTCCTACAACTACGGCAGGGGATGATCCAGCCTCAAATGGACATGCTGAGTCAGAGGCGCGCCTAAAAGCTGGCCGAAAAGGATTCTGAAGTGGTGTCGTGGCCGGACGCCATCCGCTACGTTGCAGCGGAACGACGGCGCAAACAGTTGGAAGACTTGGGGCGCCTTGCCTTCCTACGCTACCTTACCGGCAGAAGGTGTGGGTCAAAGTCAAGAAATGGCACAAAGATGGAGGACTGGTAGCGCCATTTGTGGAAGCCACTGTTCTATGTCCCAGCCATTTGGTCAATGGAGGATGGGCGGTACAACTACAAGATGGGCGAGTTCTTCACGTGAGAGAGGCCGTACAAACCAATCAAGAGGGCGAACAACTCCGAATACAACAAGGAGTACAAGGGGACATGGTGGAGCTGCACTTGGAAGAAGATAAACGCCCGGGCCAACCACATCGAAGACTGACTGGCAAACAGCCTTTGGGAAATACTCCACGCATGGGGGACACTACGGCGGTTGTCACTGCTACTGGTCCATCGTCAGCGGGGGAGAAGTATTCTTCGTCGTCTTCACCTTTGAGGCCGAATGCTTCGACTTCGAACTTGTGGCAAGATGCTCCGGAAAACTTCCCTAGCTCCTCAACTTCGGCCTCGGCAAAAGGGGTCAGGTCTACTTCACCGGGACGCCATGTTCGCCAAGTTCGAATGGAGGGTGAACGGAGTTCAGTACAAGTTGCAGCCCACCAAGGAGAGAAATGGAAAACCTCGAAGCCGGAGTTGGTGAACTCGGACGATTGGGTCCGCTTCTGTGGCTTTGAGATGAAGTATAAGGGGGATGATCTGTTGGTGGGTCAACCTTCATACCTACAAGACCTACTCCGTCGACGCAAGATCACAGCTAAAAGGTCAACACCATTGCCTGCCGGAGGAGGAGGGCAATGTCAAGATCGAGGAGATCCGCCAGGCTCAGGCCATAGCTGGAGAAATCTTGTGGGTGGCAGTGCGCAGTCGTCCGGACCTTGCGTTTGCTACTGGGGCACTGGGGAGAGCAGTGACAAAAAGGTGACGTTGGGCGCTACAAGCCGGGTACTACATCCTGGAGTGTTTGAACGCCACTGACGAGTGCTTCTTGGCCTATGGCCGATGCAAGGAGAAAGACCGGGGCGATGAGGCACTGGCTCGTGAAAGAAGTATGAACCTGGTGCTTTGGGGGCAGAAGATCCACCTGCGGTCATCACCTATGGGGACAGCCAAGCGGCCATTGCCATCATTCGACAACCAGATGGCGAACACGTCACCTACGCCTTCGATCGCACGCACTGAGGGAGAGATCACGCTTGGTCAAGGTGGCTGTGGTTGCATCCCTGGGTGTACGTAGCCCTAGCAGCTGAAGCCATTAGGATGTTTAGTAGGAAGGGGGTCAACGCAGAGGATTCAAAACCACGTGTTTTCCAGGGTCAAACCAGCAATGGGTCCGGGGGAGAATCCTTTGTGAAGACCAACCCACGTCTGTGCGCCCTGTGGACCAATCCGGCAAGGGAACAAATAGGCCAGAGGCCTGAACAAGAAGAGAAAGAACAAGAAAAGATCAAGAGGCCACAGGTTCTGTTGCGTCGGGCCACACGCATGGGTCCTGGGACTTGGCGTCCCGAAATGAGGAGGACTCCCACAGTAGCCTACAGGCTCCCGAAATAGAACTAGAAGCTTCGAGCGCGCGGCATGGCATGTGGGGGCGCATTCAATTGCGCCTTGGAGGGGCTGGCGAGGCTGAGGACCACGGCAACGAGGGGGCTGGCGCTACATCGAGTTCCTCCTCATCTACCAGACCTCCAGCGGGGCAGGGCTATCAATTGGATGGAGGGCCGCCTGTGAAGACGCCTCCCATCTTGCCCAAGTATGTGCAGCGCATGCCTGAACCACTGCCCAAACCTCCACCGGTGTTGCCCAAGTACGTTCAGCATGCCGCTGAAACCATTGAGGGCTTGAAGTCTGGATACTATCCCAGGAAAAGTCCGCCACCAGAGCTGACGGGTGACTCTGGCGGCAAGGCAGCGGCGTGGGGTGGCGGCTTTGGGGACTACGTCCAAAGGTTCAACGTCGTACCAGGGGTGAAGTGACAACTCGGCCGGCAAGGTTGGGATCTGCATGGCCGGAAGAATATCCTCCATGGGTGGCGCCAAAACAGGGCCCTCTTCCTCGTCCACACCGTGCATATCGGGATCGGCCCACGGCCATCAGTCCCGAGACTGGTTCCTCCTGTTGGAGCAGAGGGAGACACCTTGCTGATCCAACCCTCGGTGCGGTGGTCACAAGAGCTCTTCGACAAGAGTCAAATCTTGGTGGATGAGGAGGCCACGAAGTTTAGGCCAGTTCCACGAACGGACATGTGGGACTACTTGCGCCTACCATCAGCCACCTGGCTGGTCAGGCGGCGCAGCTTGAGGGTGCAGAGGTTCCATCCTGAACACAGGTCCACGCCGGAAGACATCCGGGACTTGGTGTATGCAAGGGCGACGATCGCCTGGCTCCTTAACCAGAACACCATGACCTTTTCGCAGCGGTTGATCTACTATTGGATGTACCCAACCTACACGGAAAATGGTGCGGGTTCAGTTTCTTCCTGGTCAAAGACCGGGTAGTTGCGAGTTGACTCGCAAGGGGGAGCGCGGAACAGTTCGCACAGCTTCCAAAGCTTTGAAACATGGCGAGACCGCCACAACACGTTGGCTCAAGAAAACACAAGCCCGCACGCAGCGCGACCGCTTCCATGAAAAGAATCCTAAGCGATCGAAAATTTTGCAAACTTCAAGAATCTCAACCCTAGTGTGTCCACACGGTTTGGGGAACAAGATCGCATGTGAGATCACATGGCGCATTCAAATGGGTGTCTGGAACAAACCGTTGAATGCACATTCCACTGCCACTGTGAATGCCAGATTATCACGTCTCAAGAAACAGGGAGTGAGTTTGTCGGTTCAGTTTGTATAGGGTGGTGACCGTATGTGGACCGTGGGTCAGGCGCTGGACAAAGTTGCCAGATTGGGCGGCGACTTCCCATATCGCGCAGTGACGATTGCAAATTTTTCCGAACACCTGAGCGCCTTGGGTTTGTCGTCGCCACATGTATTTGGGCCCATTAACCAACTGGTTTTGGAGAAGGCAACAAAGTTCACAGGTTACAGTATGTCCTTCTTCAGCAACGCCATTGCATGGCAACGATGGCTTCGCAAAGGCTTGTGTGACAAGGCTCTTGATTCAAACACTTTTTTTGACAATAGGAGTGGACCAATGTTCTTCTGGAGGGGAGATTGGCCATTTCGGCGGTGGCGGGACGAGAAGGATGTACATCGTCAAGCAGCTTTGCCGAAAAGAATTGAGAGTCAGACTTGTCGCTTCGTGTTTTTTGCTGGAATTGAAGGCACAGGCCATCATGTATGGCACAGTCTTTGGAAAAAACTCGGGCCCTCTGCGGCTAGCTCAATTCCACTGACCTATGCTTTGTACGACCATTGGAACATGACTGGTTTCTTCAACACTTTTGACGGAGAAGTTCGGGCGCGGTCAGCTGAGAGCATCAAGCAACTGATGATCAGCATCAGCCAGAACCATAGCACTCCTAATGATGTGACAATGATTGCACTCAATGTTGGGTATCGTGATCAGGAACTTACAGGAATGATGTCGTATCCCAATTTCATGGGTCAGGACAGGGCAATTCAAAACCCAGACGTTCACGCGTTGGCCAATTTGGCTGAAGCTGCTGGGGTTGATTTGCGCATTGCGCTGATGCTGCGACATCCTGCTAGCACTGTTCGAAGTGGTCTTCGTCGAAACTTTGAGCCAGATTGGCTGCACGCCGTGAAAACGTACACTTTAACTCTGGCCCTATTGACCGCGCAGCTAAATTTGATCGATCCTTCGTTTATAGCTTGCTGGGACTACGAAACCCCAACTGCAGGACTCAGTGATCTTCTGTCTTCTATCGGTGCACGACAACACCCTACGGATTTTGACAAAGTTATGGACAAGGAGTTTCACGCCGATTCGTCAGAGAAAGACAGCACGGACACGCGCAAAGTGCGCGAAGCTTTGCAGACAGCAGTGGGGATTTACAATGAACTTCGTGACAGATGGTGCGTTCCACGTTTGATGCGCATTAGACATTGATGATTCAAAGTTGCAAGATGTGGGAAAAGAACGTAGAGTGCTGCGCCACGCACCTTTCTTGCTGATGTTTGCAATTTCTTTTCGACTTTGAAAAACATTTTGCCTTGTTGTCAAGATTTCATGACATTCCAGAGCATGCATCAGGTTCTACATAGACTGCAGGTACACACATGTATCACGATGTGAAAGAGACGCTTGAGAACATGTCCTTGGATTGCCATACAGGCACAAGGGTCCGAAGTGTTTGCAGACACAGATGGTTACATTATACATTTGCATTCCCGTCTACCGAACCACTTCCACTATGTCGGACCAAAGCAACCGACTAACCTGTATCTCTTACGTCTCCAGGGTTGTGTTGAGATACTTTTGTTCAAGTATGGAGGAGCGCCAGCCAATAGCTGTTTTCGAACACTCCCACGAGGATGCGTCCTACTCGGCAAGAGCCGGGTTGAAGAAGCACAGCACACTGTCCACTCGGCTCAGGTTTGCACGCGGCGCCGAGGGAGATAACCAGGAGACCGATTTCGTCTCCGGCATTGGCCATCGTGGACACTGCCTGCGCCCGCGCCGTAGAGAAATATAGTGGCGTGGCCATGCACCTCGGCTTTGACAGCCCAAACGGCAAGCCTTGATGCACTGCAGCTGGAGCAGCCCAACCGGACATCCAGCACTTCTGGTGAACCACTTCAACGGTGGAAAGCCGCCCAAGACCGATGCAGAGCACATCGGAGAAGTGCGCATCCCAATCGTGGCGGCGTACACAAGTGCGCAGTCTCATGATGTCGTCAAGCCTCATTTGTTTTACCCCAAGGATTTGCCTCGTGAAATCCACTACACGCTGACTGACCAGCACGGACGAACGCCTTGAAGGGCAACAGTTTTGTTTGTTGGTAGACAAAAACTTGCGTGTAAAAGGGCCACAACTCACTGTCATCAAGATATGCCTCGGGTCATACGATAGAGTCTGTATGTCTGCGTCTCGAAAACGAAGAGGCTGGCTGGCTAACTTGCCAATTGCAAAGCGCTTATGGCACCACAAGTCACACCCATGGTGACCATCAATGCCTGAGCAGTAGACATAGTACCAACGATTGTGGCGTGTATACCAGATCTAGCGCGACACTCTTGCAAGGCAACAACAGCAATTCCTAACTTATCGAATTGCTCGGCTAGAGCGAGGGCTTTGCCATCTGTTGTGAGACCATGTGCTTGCGAGGCGACAGAACCAGCAGCCAAAGTTTGGACATTCAAAGTGACCGTGTCAAAACGCACAGCACCTTGAGCATGTTGAGTGACAGGTACTGGTGGACTCCACCCGGTATCAACAGGACGGTTTGATCCTGGGCCTTCTAAACGAAAAAGCGGCTGCAAGGCTAATGCAGAAGGAACATCTTGACCATCGTGCAAGGCTAGCCATGCATGTTCACAAAGCTCATGGCGCAATAGTTGACAAACAGTTAAGGGAAGTGAACAGCATCAGCTAGCTCGTTCCATGGTTGTCCATCATGAGCATATACGTGACGAAAGGCAACAGCTTGCTTACTGGTTTGAACTAAGGCTCGAAGACAAAACAATGATCGAAAAAGAATTCGCTGTTGGAACTGCGCGCCTCCTAACCATGATCCCTCGGCGGCAAAACCTACGCTAGCGCTATCGAAAAGCAATTCTCCTTGCGAACACAGCAATAGACAGGCTAGGGCCCAGATCATGGCTTCTGCTTGCGAAGAGCAGCGTTGCGTGGCTCCCACATACTGGGCGTTGTCAACTCCATCACCAGCAAGGTGCACATGACCGTTCAGTCAACCACCAAAAAATCAGTGCGGGTGTGAGGCGTCAACCGCAACGCCGTCAAGCGCGACCACACAGGCCCAAGTGGCGGCGTCTTGGCCATTGCTATATTGGTGAAATGAGAGCCATCGGTATAGACGTGAACACGTCCAATTGGCTCCACTTGCCAGTCAGGTGTCAGCTGTAGCGCACGATGGCTCGACAAATGTAGATCTGGCAGTTGTTCCAAGACTTGGCGGTGGATTTGCACTGTTTCAGGGGCACGGACGCATGGCCGATTCTCCAAATTGGTAAGCTCGAAAAATTGCGCTTGCGTGGCGGTGGGCTGCGCAAGACTATCTTAGCACAGGACCGTCGGGCGAGTCTGCACAGGTCGATTCAAATCATGGCCGGCGCTACCATTCGAAGAAAATGGAAAACTGGTGGCGCAGCGCACAGCTGGATGATCAGAATCTCCGGCGCTAAAAATGGAAAATGGTTGCTCAAAACCAGCTAATTAAAGCATTGTCTCACGACGAACTTTTGAGTCGGCCGCTAGGAGATCACTCGCAGTGGCCTGGCATTCTACCCCAGTTCTTCGGCTGACGCAACCTCCGTTGGCGCTGGAGAAGGAGCGTCTTCGTCTTGCTCTTGTACCGGAATGCGATCTGCTTGGATCGGTTGCGCAATGCCCTTCTGGTGCTGTTCGCGCACACTGCCTGAATGTACTTTGGTGCGCGTCGGTGCACGGCTCAGTTCGGCGCGTATCGTGAGACCAGCTGGAGCTCCTGCGGCGTAGTAGAATTCGTTTTGGGCTGGAAATACTCCTGGCCTCGATGGCATTGGACTTTCCAGCATCGGCGCCACAGGACCTGTTGCAGCGCGAAAGGGATCCCCTGGAGTCGACGAAGCAATCGACATTGGCCTTTCCGGCGTTGCTGGATGAGGTAGTTGCTGCGGAGGCAAACATTTCTGGCCGGTGCCTAAATCGGGAACAGCAATTTCTGTTGAGGTACTGCTTGTTAGCTGGGCAAATCCTTATTCCAATCTTGGATCTGAGCTTGCTGAAATTGCTGACTTGCTTGTACCGTTGGGCAAGATGGGATCTTGCTGCTCGTCGTGTGATAGATGTTCTGCTGGTTCGACTGCAGGCAGTGGAGTATTTGGGATCTTGCTGCTCGTCTTGCGATAGATGTTCTGCTGGTTCGACTGCAGGCAGTGGAGTATTTGCGCGATTGGCTGCGCGCAATGCTGTGGCTAGGGCTTGTTCCATAGCTGTAGTGTCTGTAGAGCTGCTGGGACGGGCCTCGTTGCCAACAGTGTTGTTTTCCGAGAAAGGCAGGTGGCCAAGTTGCTCTGAAGGCTGTTTGGTCAAATCCATGGCCGGCAAAGCACTCTTGGCGGTAGTAGGTCGATCCAGTTTTGGTGGAATGGCAGGAGCTGCCTCTGACTGCAGGCTGGCTGTCTGAAGATGTCGTTGCTGCGAGGGTACCTGGGGTATCTGGCGTATTGTGCCAAGAGGCCGGTACTGACACTGTGGCTTGCCCTTGTGACACGAGTGAGCTCGCCTGTAGGCGGAGCAGCTGGCGAACTCAAAGCAGAGCCAATACCTTTTGCGCCGGCAGGTGGCGGCGAAGGACACATCGAACCTGGTGAGGAAGCAGGAGCAGGAAGAACAATAAATTGTTGCGTAGGCAAGGGCTGGCAGTTTTTGACATAGAGCCTGGCGTCGTGGCTTCGCCATGATGTGGTGCATAATGAGGGGCTGCCTTGCGCTGCCTGGGCTGGAATGCTGGTTTCCACCAATGGCTGAGAAGCCAAGTTTGTTGAGCCACGGCACAAGGCAACTTTGGTTACTGTTGGGCATAGCCTGTATAGGGCTCGAGAACAACTAGCTGTGTCTAGATCGCTCGTGGCCCCAGAGCTTAAACAAGCTCGACTTTTCGCCTTGCGGTGCTGCCATTTTGTGACTCACTGCTGTTTCCTTTACTGGTGTTCTGGCGGCGTCGTCCCCTTCCTGGCATCGCCGACTCCGAGCTAGGCGAGCTCGGCATCGCTTGTTTGTCAGGCGACACCAGCATCGACAGGTGCTGAATACTAAGGTGTGCACGAAGCTTCTCAAGCTCTCTGCCCTTTTGGCCCTGCATCATTCCAGACCGAACTACGTACTAAGGTGTCGTCCAGTTTCGGAGATGACATGGCGTGGTCAACAGAACTGGAACCAGAAGGCTCAGGATTGGAAGAATGCCTGGCCTATCGACAAGAAGAATCAGGACAAGCAGAAGAAGGCCAAGAAGAACCAGAAGGAGAAGGACAAGACCGAACGGCCGACCTTCTTCCTCAGCCACGATGGAAGAAAAGTTGCATTAGGTTCTGGTGGTGGGTCTTCATCGGGAGCTTCGGCGTCTGCCTCAGCACGAGCTGTTCAGGAGGAGAACCGTCGACTCAAGGAAGCGCTGAAGCTGATCTCAGAGAAGCGGACAGTCGACAATGGGATCTTGGAGGATTGCCAGAAGCTTATCCAGAATCCTCGCGAACAACTCCGAGAGAGACAGCGCGAGCTCAACAAGGAGAAGAAGACGTTGACTCGGCAAGAGAAGCTGGAGGCAACGATCCAGGAGACCGACGAGAGTTACAGGAGCTGGCGTTCCGGCATGGAGGAAGGCCTGAAACAGGAAGATGCTCGACATGCTGCGGAGATCGAAAAGTTGCAGCAGGAGCTCAAAGATCTTCAAGAGGCCAAAGATCCAGATGCCATGAAGGAAGACATGGACGACGAGAAGCTCTTACGAGAAGGGTCAATGGCTCAGGAGCTTTACGAAGTTCGGGAGACTATGAAGGAGATGGCTTACCATGTCAAGACTCTAGAGCAGAGGAACCAAGAAATTGCGATTGCTTGAGAAAAGGACGTGCCATTGTATGGAGTTCTCCAGCGTCCTTGAGCTCTGCCACTTCCGCTGACCTCTTGACTGGGGATCTCGAACGATCGCGCTTGTTGGTCATCGGAGACATCACGACCTGAGGCCTCTTGACGAGCCGTGGTGAACCATCGTTGAAAAGCTCGATCGGCTTACTTCCCTTGATGGCCGACGCCAAGGCCTGTACCTGGGAGTTCATTTCACCACAAGATCATGGCCATTCTGGAGTCGGAGGGGGACAAGTACCAGACTCCGGAGGCTGTCGAGGTTTTGATCCAGCAAGTCACGGCGCAACTTGCGCTACATCCGGACCATTCGAGCCTAGATTCCTTGGATTCTCCGAGCGAAGCTGTTGTGCTGCCTACAGGTCGAGGTGTCACGCAGCCTTTTGGAGGCCCCAAGTCTCTCAAGAAGTCAGAGGCTACGCCTGCCCGATCCAAGGAGGGGGACTCTGGAGGGGGCAGGTGAATGTTTCAATGGAGATGGAAGAGGTAGGAGTGGAACCAATCCATTTGAAGGTTGAGACGCCCTCCTACCAAAACAGTTTTGAGTGTCAAGACGATGTTGTCTTTGGACGAGCAAAGGGTCCTTTGAGTTGGTGGTTTTGCGCTTTATTTCAATTCCATAGCAGCATGCCACTTTTTTCGTCTTGTGCATGGAATCGGGTTTCCCGTTTGTTTGAGAGCATGCTTTGCTTTGAGCAAGAAAGTCAGAAAGGGGCTTTTGATGTTCACGCAGCTGGGTGTATGGATTGGTGCTCTGAGTCCTCATGGGTTGGCGCTATGTGGAACAGGTCTTCCTTGGCATCTTTCATTCCCAGCACAGCCATGTTTGCTCTGACACAGCCATGTGCCATGCGACTGTTCCAGCAAAACTTTTCCTGCGCTTGGTTTACAGGGGAAACCGAAGGGATCAAATGCCCACCGCAACAGGCCTTTGCCTTTTTTGCTGTACAGGCACAAAACTTGCAGTGTTTGCCCTGTAGGATTGAAAGACCCCCACAATACAGACCCAGAGTTTTTGCCCATCTGTTTTCGGGGCACCGACGGGCTGGAGACATCCAGAGCCATCTGGAAAAAGCTGGAGTGTTTGCCATCTCGGTCGACGTCATATTCCATGCCGACTATGGCGATCTAGCCAAGCCTGAGACTTTCTCCTTTTTTGCGAGAGCCCTAGCTGAAAACATTTTACTGGGATTCATCGGCGGGCCGCCATGCGAGACCTGGTCTCGCGCACGCGGGACTGTTCTTCCTGATGGGCAGCCAGGACCCAGGATTGTCCGATGTTTAGCCAGGCCTATGGGCCTTCTGGGTTTGACAAAACGAGAACATGAACAAGTGGCGTTTGGTAGCAGGCTGCTTGGCATCATGCTCAAGCTTATGACAGTGGCACTTCGTACTGGCAAGACGGCAATACTGGAGCATCCCGCAGAGGATACTGTGAATTGCCACCAAGTTTGCATCTGGCGATTGCCTGTTGTCTGCACCCTGCTACGATTTAAGCAGTGTCGACGCCTCAGAGTTCTTCAGGGACACTTTGGAGCGAAGTCTCCAAAGCCCACTGATCTACTCTGCGTCAATGTTACTGAGAAAGCAGAACAGATGCTACTCAGTGGTCGAACAACACCATTACCGATGACAGCCTCTATTGGCAAGGGAAAGAACGGAGAGTGGCTAACGACTTCTTTGAAGGAATACCCTGGCGACCTTTGTAAGTTGTTGGCGGACCTCTTTCTCGAAAGCCAGAGAGACTGTGGAGGCAGAGAATCCCTGCCTGAGTGGTTCACGGAAAGATGTGACACTCTGATCGGCACTTTCGATCAAGAAGCAGGCATGGGACTCGACTACCACGGTAAGAAGTTGTTTGGATCTAATTAATTTGCATGGCGGTCGCAGACAGACGTCCTTGGCGAACGCAAGAGGAAAAGAGCGTAGCCTGTATGCAGCGGTGGCTGTGACACGGGATTGACATTGGCGGAGATCGGCAGGTGTGGCTCTGAAGTCACGGAAGCAGGTGCCCATGTTTGGCTGTAGGCACTGTCGATGTCCATATAGCTCCAGCTTCTGCAGGTATTGTATTCGCCACAGTGGGGCCAAACAGCTTGGCAACGGCAACGTCTGTGCGACAGCGACGGAAGGGACAGACCCTGGCTGACTCGGCGAGGCATAGAACCCTGCGAATTGACGGACTGCAAGACAGACTGCAAAGACGGCACTGATCGAGACTTCCTCCTGCACTGGCATCGGTTTTGCCTTTGGTCTTTTTGGAGCTCCAATGCCTTTGACAACCTTTGCAAAACTCGGCACTGGGTCGTTTTGAAATTTCTCAATTCTTGCAACCCCGTTTACTGTCCAGGAACCAAAGATCCTCGCTCTGGCTCTCCTCCTCCGAGCTCTTCTGCGCCAGCACGGAGAACGGGCGCGCTTCGCCACTGTGAATAAGCGACGCGGCCGGGATCGAAGACAAGCGACCGGCAGAGCCGTTTGCTCTGGGGGTCAGCAATCGCTGCTAGTAGCGTGTTCTGAGCCCTTTGGTCACCGCCAATGGCTTCTCTCGAACCAGTGATGCAAGGAGGGCAAACAAGAAGGCACCCCGCTGCTTCACCTCATCGGTTTGGATCTGGTCAACTTCCCTCCTGATCTCCTGAAAGT